TTGAAAGAAGAAGTCAGAGTTGGAAGCAATGAATGGAGATTTGGAGAACCACTATATCTCCCTGAGCTCTGCCTTCTTCTATAAATGTGGATACAGTGCTATGAGACAGTTATCTCTTTCCTATCCTAAAGTGACATGATTTTTTTTAAAACATTACTTTCTTTGAGCCTCATTTTTCTTATCTATAAACAGGGAAGAATTCCTCCGTCACAAGGTGACTTTAAGGATTAAAAGATAGAATCCTGTATCTCTTCTCATACAGATCTATTTAGTTTCTGGATTTACCTAGCAGGAGCTTGAGGAGCAAGTTGTGATAGCAAACAGCAACATGGTTTGTAATTATTTGAATTCAGTATTTCATGTTCTAAATGGTTTTGAGAAAGTGAGGATTTGTTAAATGCTTTTAGTTTCTGGGTATCTATTGAAGACCTTTACAGGAAACTTTTAGTGAAGACTTAACCTAGCCCTTGACCTTTAAGTTTCAAGGAGGCCTGCTCCACTGTGTAGTCCGAGGATCGAGTACAGTGTCTAATAATGAATAAGTGTGAAGGAGATATCTCTGGCTTGCAGGCAAGACCTGCAGTCCTGCTAAATCATGCTTTTTAAAAGCATGCCAGACTCTCTAGACCCATGAAGTTATAAATCGATCAAAGATGATTTTTCAAAATGGAGAAAATGGCAACTAATAAAGATACAAAATGAACAGATGTCAAGGTTTTCTTAATTATCAGCAAGAGAGCCACTAGTTATAACTAGTTCAAAAGAAAAAGAGTTGTTTGTAGATGTAGAATATGGATATACTGTAATAAAGGAAGAACTTTTTTCTGGTTTGGTATATATTTATTTATTTTCAGGTGCAGAAGTGTTTTGTTTTCATGTGTGTCTACAAACTACAAGTATATTTGCTGCCTGTAGAGGTCAGAAAATCCTTGGAATGGGTATTCCAGGTGTTTGTAAGCTACCATGTGAGTACTGATACTCAAACATGGGTCTTTTGGAAGAGGAAACAGTCTTCTTAATGGCTGAGCTAACTCTCCAGCCCTGGTTAGTGAGTTCTTAAATAAGGAAAGACAGAAGACTTTTCCTATTCTGTAAAATAATCTTTAGAAAAAAAGACAAAGAGTTAAGACTGGGCTGGTTTAACCCATAGAAACAGTTGACCTTAACAAGGGGAAGCTCTTGGACCCCAGATTGATGGCTGTGTGGAAAACATGGGACTGACCCAGACCCCCTGAATGTGGGTGTTAGTGAGGAGGCCTAGGTAATCTATGGGGCTCCGGGTAGTATTTATCCCTGAATTACAAATAGACTTTGAGTGCCCATGCCACAATATGGGATGCTCTGTCAGCTGGGACTCTTGCGGGAGGGCCTAAGCCTTGCCCTGGATGAAATGACAGTCACTGGAGATCCACCATGAAGGGCCTCACCCTCCCTGGGGATCTGGGTGGAGATTGGGTGGGTGACTGGGGTGACCTGGTGGGGAGGGGGGATTGGCAAGGAGGGGAGAGGGAGGGATCTGGGATTGACGTGTGTAACAAGCCTGTTTCTAACTTTAATTGAGGAGAGAGTAGGTCATGGGGGAACAGGAAGGTTGAGTGGGGAATAGAATAGGGGGAGAAGAGGATGAGAAATACAAAAATAGAGGGAGTCATAGGTTTGAAGAGAGATCTGGCACCAGTGAAACCTCTAGATATCTACAAGGATGACAACAACTGGCAAGCTAAGCAATAGTGGAGAGACTACCTTAAATACCCATTCCTGATAATGAACTTGGCAACTACCTTATATGCCATCCTAGAACCTTCATCCAGTGACTGATGGAGGTAGAGGGAAACACCCACAGCTAAATACTGAACTGAACACATGGAACCCAGTGACAGAGAGAGAGGAGCGATGAGCAAATTGGCAAAGAATGGGCTGGTGAAACCAGCAGAGACAGCTCATCTGAACAAGGGGGAGCTCTTGGACCCCAGACTGACAGCTGGGAGGCCAGCACAGGACTGATCCAGACCCCCTGAGTGTGAGAATCAGGGAAGAGGCCTGGGCAACCTATGGGGCCCTGGGCAGTAGATCAGTATTTATCCCTGGCATACAAACAGACTTGTGTGCCCATAGCACAAAGAGGGTTACTCTCTCAGCCTGGACTCTTAGGGGAGTGCCTGGACCCTGCCCTGAGCAAAATGACAGACTCTGGATATCCCCTATGCAGAAGGAAGTGGAGATAGGGTGGGAGGCTGAGGGCAATGGTGGGGGAGTGCGGTAGGAGGGAGGGAGAGGGAACTGGGATTGACATGTGAAACAAGTATTTAAAATTAAAGTAATAAAAATATAAAAAATGAAAGGTGAAAAAAAGTACCAGCCAATAGGTTTGAGTTAATTACTGATATAGTCCAATTGCTAATCAAAAATACCTGTCATTAGCTGGTCAGTGGTGGTGCATGCCTTTAATCTCAGCACAAAGAAGGCAGAGGGAAGAGGATCTCTGTGAGTCTGAAGTCAACCTGGTCTACAAATTTACAGAGAAAATCTGTCTAGAAACCCAAAAGTAAAAAAAAAAAAAAAAAGAAAAAAACAACCTTGCCACCTAACCTCCTAAAATAAAAAAGAACAAAAAATATTTATAAAACAGAATTGGATCTCTAGAGAAGAGGACACTGAATTACCAATCAGCTTGTAAATTAGCAGGGCACTTAACAGTTTGGATTACTTTGTTTCTGATTCTGTGAAAAATTTTTAAATAATCTCCCCTTGTCACTTCAACTTATTCTTCAAAATCTATTTACACATTTAAATATTTTACAGTGTTGCAACTTTATTTATAGAGGGTGAAACTGTAAATATGTTTCAGATGTTAAATATAAAATTTCAGTACATGCACCATTAAAGGCGTTATTTCCAGAGAGAAAAATTAAAAAAAGACAAAGCGCAACAGAGTTGATGGTCTCTTAATAAAAATACTTCATATAAGAATATTAAATTTAGCTAGGTGTTGGTGGCACATGCCTTTAATCCCAGAATTCATGAGGCAGGGGGAGTCGAATCTCTGTGAGTTTGAGACCAGCCTGGTCTACAGAGCAAGTTCCAGGACAGCCTCCAAAACAATACAGAGAAACCCTGTCTCAAAAAACCAAAAAAGAAAATATTAATTTTAAAAAGAACAAAGATTTAAATGATGTAATTTTGTTGTTGTTGTTGTTGAATTTATTTAGATAAGTCCTGTGAGTTCGAAATGAAGATGGAATGTTTTGAAGGGCAAAACAAACATAATGGAGAACCTCACAAGGATATGTGTCAGTCCTTGTTAGCATTAATTGTGAATGTGAAACAGCTTCAAGTTATTTGACATCCAAGTTTTGACTAAAGAATTGCCTAGATATCCAATTGCTGTGACTGTCATGTAAGCATGTCTATGTGCAATTGACTTGATTATTAATTAACCCAGAAGAACCCAGGCTACTACAGACTGTACCATCACTAGCAAGTGATCCAGGTCGATATATATTAAATTAAGTGTGAGCCTGTGAGAAAACAAGCCACAGAGTAAGTTTTCCAGAGTATTTTCCCCAAATTCCTCACTGTCGTTTCCTGTCTAGAGTTCCTATGCTAGGTGAAAGATCCCCTTTCCTTTCTAAGTTGCTTTTCTTCAGTGTTTTATCACACCAAAAGAAAAGTAACCACAATAGTGTTGAAGAAGAAGATTACAACAAATTCAGGTCAAATATTGCTTTTATTTTGCTTTTCAAAACATAAGTTTAAGTTTTGGATAGCATTCCATCTACTACAGTAGAAAGGTGTACTTTGGGCATGGAAGAAGAGTGGGTTTTTGGGACGCAGGTTGGACAAGATGATACACGCATAAGGTAAAATTCCAGTTAGCTCCTTATCAGTGTTTGTCCCTGTGTCAATTTCATGGGAAGAACTGAGAAAGAAATGACTCAAATTAGCATAATTCATGTAATGGGGCCTTTTTGAAATAGATTTATATTTTCTGTCCTTTGGTTAATAACTTGCTTATTTTCAAATTTTCTGTTTTATGAAGTTTTAGTCTGATTATGTGATGCTTTACATGGGTGACTTCATCTTGATTTGAACTTCTGCTGCTTGTGCTAGACTGAAGTCCATGCTCTCCCACTAATTTTATTTAACGGTAACTAAAAATATGTCCATTACTTTAATTTTGTTTAGCTGCAGTAAAATGTCTATTACTAAAAGACATACATGTCAAGTAAATCTCATCTGTACTTTTAAACTAAGATTCACCATAGTCCAAATAAAGTGTTTTAAGTTTTGTTTTTATCTTAGACAATATTTTGTGTACAAAATATTTTCATTAGCTAGGTAAAATGAAATCATAATCTATTCTTCTCTCCTTTATTTGAATAAAGTAAGAAACCCATAAATTTGGGTTAACTGGCATTGAACTAGATCTTCCCTCCATTTAAGTGTTCCACCTAGTATCTGAATGATAGACCAATAGAGATACTGCCCTAGAAAGCATGGATAACAGGTGCTTGGAAAAATGTAGTCAATAAAATAATGCTAACACAAAACTAGGTTCAAGTTATCTACTCGTCAAATGCTTTTCAGATATATTTGAATTTAAAAGTCTACTTAATAAAATTGCTACAATGATCAATAATTTTAATGGTATCTTATTCTTCATTGACATAGACAGTTTCCTATGTAATATCATTACACATACAAAATCATAATGATACATAATAGACTTATTTTTAAAGATATATGTATCATTATCTGTAATAAAAACAGCAGTGGTCAAATTATGTCTGATAAAATCACAGATGATAAAAATGTAGCATTGACTGAATTGTAGGTATAATTATATACTTTAATTTTACTTGATATAGGAGTTACTGAAGGAACAAACATAATGTATGTGTTTTGACACTATGGAGACATCCTGAAACCTCTTCAGAATCTCAGCAAATTAACTGGATTCAACCTTGGCAAGCAGGAAAACTGGTCCATAGACAACTTGCTACAGGTATGTGAGAGCTATAATTTACACTGCTAGAATCCATCAAAGATCCATTGCCCATGGGGTTGTTAATTACTTTTCAGATAATTACAATGTTTCTTTGGTACAGCTGACAGCTTCTTTTCCCTCCCATACATACACACGTGGGTGTTGGCATATGGCTCAAAGTCTGGCCATTTCATCTTGTTTACTTGGGCCTTCAGTCAGTTACAAAAGGATGAAACAGGAACGTATCCACCTCATAAAACTTTTACATCTAGAGATTTGTACAAAATGACAGGAGTCAAACTGTTGCTCAAACAGATGTTTCCACCTGCTGCCCTGGGAGTTTTAAAGGGTGATAAATGGACCTGCCCAAAATTCAGAATGGAATAAGCAACAAATCGTGATGTGCCACCTTTTTATTTATTGTTGTTGTTTTGAAACTGGGATAGCATTTGGATCATTAACAGGGAACAAAGCATTTGGGGACAGTAACTGTCTTTATTCTCCCTGTGCAAGCTCGCTGATTGGAAAACTTGATACAGTGACAGCATGAATGTATTTTCTTTTGGATCATTGGGAAAGCTGTTTTTGCTTGAATGAACCAATAAGGGAAAATGAAACTTTAAAAGCCCCAACACAAATGAACCCGTGTGACTTAAGGGCACGGTTTGCACCCTCCTCTCTTGCTAAATATTGTACTATTTCGAGTCAAAGAAAACCAAGCCATGCAGATCTGGGAAATATAATTATCCTGCTTTCTCACCTTCAGTTTTCACTGTGATACAACAAAAGAAAAAGTTCACATTATGTTGACAATCAGCAGCATGATAAGCGACATGTTAGCAGTTGCTCTTTCACCTGACCAATACTTAAATTCCCAATGCTGCTTTAAAAGTGTGCAGAGAAATCTTTTGGGAACTTGAAACCAAATAGGAGTATCTCATGCTTTTTTCTGTCAGTATTTAGCTGTCTCTGACTTATAGTGTAATGACTGTCCTGCAACAATACTGAAGTATTCTCCCCTTGAAGACAATGTTCATCAGTGATACCATGTTCTGTAGATTAAGGTTAGTGGAAAATATGTTAGCAGATATTTAGGGAGACAACTTGTTTTAAGAAATTGCACATGCATACAGGTATACAGGATTTCGTGTGTGCAAAGCGTTGCTAAAAATGAAGAATCTATGTAAAGGTAAAATGCCATGCATTAAAGAGAACAGGAACAGAGTGAGAGAAAATGCTTGAAGTCTGTTTGTTTTGTTTACTTTGCTTTTCCCCCTTAAGTGGCACAGGAAAAGGTATTACTTGATCTACAGTCACAGGCAAAACAACGGGGACGCAGGAAGTGGGAAATGAGTTTTAACTTGCAGCCGAGTTCTTTGTCTTCCTTTTACATGTAGCCTTTTCTGTGGTTTGTTTATTTGCTTGTTTGCTTTCTGTGCTGGATTATCTTCCTTGGCCTTCTCTGCATTGATAGCTCTAAATTGAGTGTGACATCCTATGCACTCTCTCCAGTCTTCTTAATGCTCTACTCTTACTGAAACGCTTGTGATTCCTTTGTGTTTCATTCCTTGCAAGCAGAATATTGTACAATAGGTATTTTAGTGGACTTCTCTGAGATCTATTAAGCATATTAGAAAACTGAACATTTTTGCAAAAATCAACTCCAAGGGATGACATAGTAATAAATGCAGGAGCACACAAGCTGAACACAGGAACATTACCAAGTGTATGGGGTTCCTGGAGTTGAGTATATTGGAGGAGACGTTTACATAGCTGGAATCAAGGTATCCTGGCTACAATTCTGTAGAGAAATGCAAAGAAACTTTGAAGTTCAGCAGGAAACTGCATAGGTAATGAAAACATCATAGTGATAGGAAGGTAGTAGTATCTCATTGTGGCTATTTACTAATATGTAGTCGTAATTTACCTATTTTCAAGTAGGATTGCTTGGCTTTTGCACTTTCATTTTATGATTTTTTTAAAAATATACTCTGGGGGCTGGAGAGATTGTGCAGTGCTTAAGAGCACTGGCTGCTCTTCCAGAGTTCCTGAGTTCAATTCCCAGCAACCACATGGTGGCTGACAACCATCTACAATTCAATCTGGTGCCCTCTTCTGGCGTGTAGACAGAACACTGTATATGTAATAAATAAATCTTTTAAATATATATATATATATATACTCTATAGCAGTCATTATCAAATATGTGATACAGGTTAATATTTTATACAATCTACTGATAGATTGTATAAGATATTACCTCTAAGAATTTTATTCTATGCCTCTTTCAAAACGTTTTATAGTTGATATGCTATAAGCAAATGAATGAGAACTTTGGAATTAATTGTGATATCAAACATTCATTTTATGACCACTAATGTCCTTTGATTCTTTGGGAATAGATGTCTATTTTCTTTCTCCATTGCATTAAATTTTGAATCCTACTGATAGTGTAGTAACAATGCTTTTTGTTTGTCATTTGGGCCACTCGTGACTCAGCGAATAAAAAAGGGGTACAAGGATCTTTATTGCTAGGCAGTGCTGAATCTTAAGGAGATGCTTATTATTTACTTCTTTTTGAGATTTCTTTCATAAAAGGCAATCTGATGACTGTCTCTCATACCTTGGTTCCTTCCATATCCTCCCCCTTTCTCCACCCAACTACATGATTCCTTTATCTCTTTTGAAACAAACAGGAACAAAACTAAACAAACAACATGAGTAACAATAAAAATTTAAGAACCAACAAAATCAAAATAGAATGAATGAAACAAATATTCTCATGCTTTCTTCTTTCTTTTTGTCATTGTTTGCTTGATTAACTTCCATTTTTGTTATTGTTGTTATTTGTTCTATTTTGGAGAAGTGTTTGCTATTACTATGGTGGAGACAGAATTCCAAATTCCCCATGTCATCTCCAGGGACACTACAATGGGTAGCACATAGTTTATCTGTTTTCTGCTCAGAAGTTATGAAAGTCCTAGCACTCAGTGATCTTCTCTGATGCCACCTTTGTGCATAGGATAGGGGGGTGCTAAAGGGCCTTGCTATCTGCAGTCTGCTGAAGAAAAGAATATGTATTTCTCATTATGGGTTTTCTGTCCTTTGGAGAGTTGAGTTAATTTAACATTTTTGTTTCTTATGTATTACTGGATGAAATTTTGTGCAAGTTTCCTGTCTCTATTTTCATTATATTCATTTGGTTCGTTTATTTCTGTGTTTATGCACGCATGTGTATGTGTGTGTTGGGGGAGGGAGGGAGAAGGGGGTCTTCAGAGAACAATTTACAGGAACTGGTTCTTTCCTTCCACAATGAAGATACCAGGAATTTAAGTCAGGTTCTCAAGCTTTGGGTTAAGGATTTATTTTCTTATTGAGCCTTCTTATCTTCCAGGAAGCTCTCTTAATAATCTTCCATTTACTTGTCATTTGTCTAAGAATCAAATGTCCCTGTCCCCTTTTCTCTTTCTCTCTATTCTTACTATCTCTCATCTGTCATCTATTCTCTCTCTCTCTCTCTCTCTCTCTCTCTGTCGGCCTTGTGTGTGTGTGTGTGTGTGTGTGTGTGTGTGTGTGTGTGTTTGGTAGAATCTTAATTATCACAGGTTGTTCTTCTCAGATTTACTATATAGCCAAAACAGGCCTTGAAGTTTTGATCTGTCCTACCTCTACCTTCTATTTGCTAAGATTATAAATGCACCATCATACTTAATATACATCTTGTACTAAACTGTCACCAAATTTCAGCCACCATAACCTCTTTTTGTATTGTGTATTTGGAATAATGCACTATAGGTCACAAATTAATCTTGGGTATCCATCTTACACAAGCCTAAATGAATGAAGCATTTTAAATACAATTATGTATTGTAAGGATTACTTAGCATCTTTTCTTTAAGACTGTAATTAATTCTACCTTTAAACATAGCTCAAAGAGGAATTCTGAATTTCATTAACTTATCAAGACTACCTGGTTGGGGAATCACATAAATAATGATTATAGACTTACTTAAAGCAAGATTTTAATCTAGGAATAAAAAGGTCTTGCCACAAAGAATCAGATCAACATTCTTCTGTACTTCAATTCTGGAACAGGGGATGTCTGTAGCTAGGGAAATCAGCAAGAACCTTGATGGAAAACAGCATGAACCCAGTAGCTTGGAACTCTGGTGAAAGAAAAGGCAAGCTTGGTCAATCACTACAACTGGACAGTAGCAGAAGCAGAAGAAATGTTGTGCTTGCCAGAGGTAGGTGAATTCAGTAGTCTTTTTGACCTATGTTGTGAACTCTGGAGCAACCCTCCCTGAATTGCAAAAATCAGGGCACAGTTAGTGAATTTGTAAAATAGTGAATGTTCTTAGGACTAATACAAGATTGAACGTTTCCAATTTCCCCTAGGTTTCATTATAAAACTTACTTTTTGATGAATAGTCTCCCACCAATACCCCAGACTGCCAAATAAACATAAACAGTGTAGTTTTTAAATAGGTGATGATCATAATAACTTCATATTCATGAATATTTTAGTAAAATAAAAATTATATGTATATCCTACTGTTAATATTCAGGGAATATTTACACACAGCATGCCTTGTTGTATGGAAATTGATTTTAACATGTTTACTGCATAAATGTTAGGTGAAATACCACCAAACTTAAACATTAAAAAATCTGGAATCTAATAGAAGTATTTTATCTATCATTTAAACCGCAGTTGTCACAAATCTTCTTAATCACAGGGCAGATATTAGTGGAGTATATAATAATTCATATCAACAGAAAATGATCCCATTTCATAAGCAAAATTTAAGGTTCCATGGCTTATCAGATTAAAATACTTGTCATATATATTTATAGTAAATTCAGAATATTATTACATTTAAAACAAAAAGAACCTTAAGAGACATATTATGGTATTATTATTAAATAAAATGGCAATCAAAAGTCAGAGCAATCAGACAGAAAGCATTTTATTAGAAAAAGAAATTGCTACATGTAATAAGCTATTTGAAATATCGTTTGAGATTTTGTTTTTAGGAAATGACAGAGAGGATAGATTTTATCTTCATTTCTCTATTTATGGCACAACTCTTTCTGCTTGAATAATAACATTCACTACAATATGCTTCTCATATTAGAGCATAACAGGCCAATACAGGACTGAGGACCTTATATGGGTTCATTGGGATGCAGAGAATCTTTCACAGGAGGCCTCAGAAATGTCTGGGGCCTTGGGTAGCAGATCAGTTTTTACCATGACATACGAATGAACTTTGGAAGCCCATTCCACATAGGGGATGCTGAACTAATGGGGAAGGGCCTAAGTCCTGCCCTGGATGAAATGACAGACTCTGGAGATTCCCCCCAAGGAGGGCCTCACCCTCCCTGGGGAATAATATGGGGATTTGGTTGGGGGCTGGAGAGGTGCTGGTGGAGGGACAAGGGAGGAGGGATGGGAGAGAGAACTGGGATTGACAACTGAAGCACTCATGTTCCTAATTTAAATAAAAGCGTATATTGAGGAAAAAAGAGAACCTTTCACAAAGTAATTACTTAATTACTAAAAGCAAATGTGTAACATATGAAACATGAAATGAATCAAAAAGTAAATATAAGAAGAAGAGATCCGTTGATCACCATCATTTTGATCGTGGATGGGAGTTTTTGCAGTGATGTAATTCATAAATAGTCCATATTCACAGTGTTTAGCTCAAGCCTGGGAGGTGAGAGGTAGACCCCTTGCAGCTATATCAGAAAAAGTGCACCTCTTTGCCACAGTCTAGCTTATCATGGCTAATTTCAGAAGTTTCTAGGTCTATACAAAATATAGTCTAAAATAAAATCTGCTCATATAGTGGAGGCTCACATCTTGCACACCTGCACTGGCTGAAACACTCCAATCAACGCCAGTATGTCACTTTTCTCTCAAATACTATTTTTCAGAGACAAAGTTACTGAATACCAGGGAAATGCCTAATGCTTGATTTTTCATGTTTTGCATCTTCTAAGTTTCATACACATGTTGCAAGCACAATGAAATATGTCTGCAGTAAAGCATAATGTTTCACAGCACACATTTATTGCTCACAAAATCAAGCGATAAAACACAAATTTCAACGCAGTAAAAACTATTTGAGACAAGCATTCTATTCGACAGAATGGTATGCATCTATGATGGAGATCAACTCCCAAAGTGAGTGCCTCATATAGAAGAGGTGCAGCGATCATAAATTATGGGGTGAATGAATGTTTTTATATCACACACTTGGAAATGTCAAGGTAGAGTCAGTGGTTTCCTGGGAAAGCCAGGTATCTAAGAAAATAAATCTCTAATTTGTGCTGTTTGCTTCATTGCGTGACATAAATTCATTTGCTGTGACCATTCCAACCATCAACATGATATTATTGGATGCAAAATTGGGAAACAATAGGTTGTGTGTTCTCTCATTGTCTGGTGCAAGCTGCCTTTACTAGCCTTCTGGTAAGAAACTCTGATTTGCTTTCCTATGACCCTGCCAAAGAAAACCATGCCATATAATTTATTTTGGCTGATTAGTTGGTTTTATTTAAATGGAAACTATAGATGAGTTGCCTCCACAGTAGTAATAAAATTTGTTACTTTTGAGGTAAACTGCAAGTAGCAAAGGCTTTTGCACTAGGAGTTGGCATGCTTTGCTTAGGAAATAAAACCCCATAAAAGGCCTGGAGGTAGTCTATGAAACCTCTAACAGCGGAGCCAGGTTTTATTCCTAGGCCATAAATGGATTTCGGGAGCCCAATCACAATGGAGGGATACTATTGCACCCCAGATAGTGAAAGGAGGGCCTGAGCCCTCCCCCAAATGATGTGATGGACTTTGATAATCCCCCATGGAGGGTCTCACTAGCCCTGGGGAGTGGGTGTTAGGTTGGTTGGGTGGTTGGTTTAAAGCATGGGAGGAAGGGAGGGTGAGGGAAAGGGGGGACAGATATGTATATGAAAGTGTTTCTAAAAATAAAAAATATATATTTAAAAAAAGCAGAAGTGGGACATCTAAGATAAAATGTTTGGAACCTCTGTGTTCTTGACCAGTATAAACTGAGGGTGTTAAGAATGGGACAGGGGAGATGATTAGCAGCTATTGCAGCAATCCATATGAAAGATGGTACTCTCTTGGTTCATAATGGTAGAAGTGCAACTGAATTTTTATGAAGTTTCAAGTAGATATAATTTGTGAGATTATAGGTAGGATACAGGAGAGACTTAAATAGTAGTAATAGTTTTGTTAGGATTAAATACAAATATTGAATTTAATGAGGTGAAGAATACTAAGGATAGATGAACTTGTCACTATGTTGTTTAAGAAAGATGACATCATGAAATTTTCAGGTAAATGGATTGAACCTGAAAAAGAAATCATGAGTGAGGTAACCCAGACTCAGATAGACAAATATGGCACATACTCACTCTTAAGTGGATACTAGATATAAAGCCAAGGATAAGCAAACTATAATCCACAACTCCAGAGAAGCTAAGTAAAAAGGAGGACCCTAAGAGGGACACATGAATCACCCTGGGAATGGGAATTAAATGAGATCTCTTGGGTAAACTGTGGCCAATGGGGGAGGTAAAGGGGAGGGGATAGGGGATACGAACATGAGGGAACAGGATGGCCCAGTTGGGGGAGAAATGGGGTAGGAGAACAATGAAAGAGTTATCTTGATAGAGCGAGTCATTATGGGATTAGGGAGAAACCTTGTGGTAGGGAAATTCCCAGAAATCCACATGAATGACCCCCGCTAAGATTCCTAGCTACAGTGTAGAGGTTTCCTAAATTGGCCATCCCCTATAATTAGATTGGTGAATACTTCAACTGTCATCATAGAGCCTTCATCTAGTAATTGATAGAAGCAGATGCACAGATCCACACCAAGTACTTGACCAAGCTCCAAGAATCTAGATGAAGAGAGGGAGGAGGGAGTATATGAGCAAGGGCGATCAAGATCAAGAAGGGGAAATCTGTCTATAGAGACAGCTGAACCAGGCTCAGTGGAAACTCATGGCAGACAGCTGTGGCACCTCCATGGTACTGAGCTAGACCCCCTACATGTGGGAGACAGTTGTGTAACTCAGTCTAACTGAGGAGTCCATGACAATAGGATCAGGATTTATCCCTGGTACTTGGCCTAGCTTTTGGGAACCCGTTTCCTCTGATAGGATGCCATTCTCAGACTTAAAGCAAGGGCTTGATCCTGTCTCAACTTAATAGATCATGCTTTGTTGACTCCCCATGGGAGTCCCTACCCTTTGGCAGGAGTGAATGCTGGTGAGCTCGGGGAGTCAGGGGTTGAGATGAGGGGTGTGGGAGAGAACTGCTATTGGAATGTAGAATGAAATTAAAATAAAGAAAAAAGAAAAAAGAGAAGGAAAATGTGTGAGAAAATGGACTTGTCTAATTCCATGTATTATTAAAGTTTGAATAAGACCATCCAGGTCCTATCATTCTGTTTTCAGTAGAGGACTAATGTGTCAAGACAGAGATACAGGAACAGGCTATCCATACTTTCTTGGGTTTGGGCCAGTGGGTTTATGGGTAAAGCACTTGATAAAGTATGAGGACCTGATGTTTTAATTTAAGAACCCACCAAAAGCCAGATGTGCACATCCTAAAAATTGTAGCATTTCTAAAGTGGGATGTGGAGCAGACAAATTTCTCAGTAGCTCTTCAGCTGGCTAGCCTGGTATATGCAGAGGTAAATAGCAAAAGAGACCCTGATTCAAAGGAGGTGACCCCCAAGGGTGCTGCATTTGTACTTCCTTATGTTATGTGCTGTGGCCCACACATGTTCCTCCCTAATTTAAAAAAAATGAAATGTTTTCTGCTGTGATCAACCTGCTTATAAACAGAAGAAAGGTAGTTTTCAAAAATTATGTTACTGAATCAGAAGAGGCTATAAGTATGTATATACTTAATGAAACTGAGTTCCTTGGAAGAGAGAAGAAAAAATGTGCCTAAGACATTGATCCTAGCAAAGAGAAAATTGTTAACATGTATAGAGTTGCTTAGAGTGGCAATTGTAGAAACTCACAGCCTTGAAATGTATTAATTCTGAATATGAGTGAGTCATGTTCTGCTCTGAAGGGCCAAATTCTAAAATCAAGTACACTTTTAGAGGGAATGTTGCTC